GCGAGGGAGATAGTTTGTGAGTAACGCCACTCAAGGTGTGCAGCCTCTACCTGATGCCATAGTGTAGCGGCTTCACCCGGTAAACATTGAAGGGCCCGGAGCAGGTCGTCTCGATTAGGGAAGATACCTGTGACTGCGAAGGCAGCACCTAGCTGCGGCCCCTCGTGGGAATCGTGCAACCAGACAAGAGTGCAAATGGCACCGCGGGTAGACGCCAGAAGAATAGGACCAGGGAGTCCCATTAGCTGCGGCGGAACATCCAGCAAGGTCAGTGAGTCAGCCGTAGCCGGTAGGGCCCGAGTGAGCATGTTAGCAGCCGTTTCCCGCGCACTGACACCATACATTCGGGGAAGCCAAAGATGTGGCTGAGCAGGCTGGATTAAGGGAAACACTTGCTGACGAGACCCTTGTTGCCAAGAACATCCCCGCGGCATAACGAGGGAGTGTGTGCTCACGTCCAGAAGAGGTGGGTCCAACGCAGCATAGTTAGGCACTAAGACACATACATCACCGTGCCTGAGTTTGCCGCGATGTGCGCAGTCAATCCGCACACACTGGTGCCCATCCCGGGCCATCCCCCACTCGAAGATGGCATTCGCAGGATTGCGCCAATCAACATCGAGACAGGTCCACACATCATGATAGCGGACAAGGATGGTGCTGTGAAGGATGTTGCAGGAGGTTGCGACCAGGTGGACCGCAGTATGGTCGGGGGGCGCCATAACAGGTAGTAGACAAGCCCTGTCTCGCACCAGGGACACACCAAGAAGGCCCGCTCTGATATCATCCCAACTGAGTCCCACTAGGTATTGCCGGAAAAAGGAGCCTTCAGGAAACCAAACCTTGAAGGTAACAATTCGGGGGTCTTCAGACCCTAGCAGACTAGGACTGAGGTTGGGGGTGAGGAGACGACCAGCTGAGAGGAGCTCCGACTGTATGGCAGCATGAGTTGCCTGAGATGCCTGCGAAGGAAAGGCCATCATAGGTACAGGAGCTCGAACTCTCCGGTCAGCTCTGTGCGGGGGCGCGCTAGAGGCTCGCGCCGCATGCACCAGAAGAGGTCCATCCCACACCAAAGTCAAGAGACACCACAGGCGGAGCTGCGCCGGGCAGGCCAGTGCGCCAAGAAGCGGCAGCCTGCTCGTGGATCGCCGTGGGGCCACCCCTCGCTCGTCCGGGAGGTCTTGTCCCTGGCTCATAACATGCAGCCGAAAGACATCAAAGGGCTCCAGGTCGAGTAGAACATGTGGGCGAGCAGCATGGTCGTGAAGGAAGCAGGCCTGTCCTCCCGCATCAACTTCCCGCAAGATTGCCTCTTCATCTAAAATTCGAGCGTGCACTCTGGTCACCGCTTCTACTAAGGTCCTGCATGTGGTGAATCTGGGCACAGACACGGCGAGCAAGCCCAAATCACTGTCTCTCAAGTCGGCGACAAGTGTGTGCATCCCAACATCTGACTGGTCGTGGGCCAGAAATTGGGTTACTGGTAGACCTGCCAGTGGGAAGCGCAGTCGCCGGACATGAAGTGTCAGAAGCTCGGGGAACTGCGCCCGTAGGATGCGGATACAGTCAGGATCGGGGCGAAAGGCTGGCAGTTCGGCATGAATTAACCCATTAGGGGTTATAACAGCCGCATGGGCCCGCGGACTATTCCCCCCTGAAGTGCCGGCCTCAAGCTCCATGCTCCGCGCGGTCGAGGGAGTCGCAGGGTGAGAGACCCGATCCCCAGGAGAAGCTCCTGACTGCCATGTAATAGTGTCACATTGGGGGTGCATCAAGGGTTGTGAATCCGCAACGAAATGACCCGGCGCGCAGGTGCACATCTCAGCTTCAGGGATGACTGGGAGATGTAGCCTTCGAGCAACGGCAGCGATAATATCGTGGCAGTAGTCATCCCGGGCGAGTTGCAGAACCTGAAAGGAAACACTTGTGCCAACATTCCGGATCGGAACGTTCTGGAGGAACCAGGGCAACCTAGCGGGCCTCAAGACATACTGCTCTAAAGGTAAGTCCGGGAAGGCGGAGACAATGGCCAGGAGATCAGCGGTTATCGCATCCAACCCCACAGCCTGCTTGATTTGGGCGTCAAGGAGGGGCCGGAAGACTCGGCTATCAACTTGAAAGATAAGAGGTTCACTCCCTTCAACCAAGTCCCCATGGAAGACGGCGATTCGGCGATGGTATGCCGGCAAGCAGACCTCTTGAAGCAGAAGGGGGCGCGCACCGCACTCTTCTATGGGTTGAAGTCCTTGGGCTGATCGCATTTGAGGGACCCTAGGGATCATGATAGCACTGCGCCCGGCTTCGCGAGCGTTGGCGCTAGCCTGCATTAGGCTAAGGGGCTCATCATACTGGTCTTGTGCCAGGACGAAGGGGTTGATCAGCACCGTTCCTTTTGGCCCAACCTCTTCACGCCAGTGCTCGGGCTGGTCCATCCCACTGTTGCGGCTTTGCTCAACCCCATGCGATGCACCGCCTAAAGGTGAGCATATCAGGATGCAGAGCATGAGCCCTCTGCATCGCAATGCATGGTACCTGCGATCAGCCTTCAGCTTATGCCATGGATGGCGAGCCTGACTGGTCCGGATGGGTGCAGCGGCAGATATGGTTGAAAACCCAAAGAACGCGGATGCAAGGGCCCCGTAGAGCACTGCACAGGTCCATAGATCGCCTGAAAGCCAGGCACCAAAGCCACAAAGCCCAAAGATCAAGCTGGCAACATCACAGTCAAGACTGAGATGGCGTGAGCAAAGGAGACGTGCTCCACCGTGCATTACTGCAAAGCTGCAACACCAGACACCAATAGACTGCCCGAAGTTAAGCGGAGTGCACCTGCCAACGATGAGGAAAAGGCCAACCCAGAAAAGCCCCAGCCGAGTCCCAAACCTCAATGAGCCTGGCCATAGTATGCACCTCAAGACATAGAAAAGGGGCACGAGCATGATTGCAGGATAGATTGGGCCTGTGCGGGTAGAGTGGAACCTCCCAACCGGACAGCCAAGCTGGGGTCTAGAGCAAGGACCAACTCGGGATATAGCCACTCCTCTGTGGACTGGGGGTTGAAGGAGAAGGCATCCCCGATTCGCTGGCTCAAGATGTGCCCCAAGAGTAGTAAAACTTTGGGGCAGTTGGTCAGAGCGCCCGGGCAGGATCGCAAGCACTCGTAGGCCCGGAGAAGGTCTTCCACAGCAGATGCTATCGCTGGCCCTCTGGTCATGTCTCCCGTGATGAGCGTCTCCATGGCAGAGGCTAGAAGATGCTTGGTTTCGTCCAGATCTGCCAAGGGAGGATCTGGAAGCACAGTTGCATGCTTGGGGTTGGAGGAACTCGTCACCGTCTCTAGTCCGTGGGTGTCCACAAGGCTCTTGATGGTCGACGTCCAAGCCCCGATCCAGTTTTCCTGCCACGCAGCCCAGTCTGCCTCTGTCTCCGTCATTTCCGTGTGCTCCGCCGCCTGGAACGAAATGGTGTCTGAGAGGGCAGCTTCGGACGGCTCCGCCATACCCGCCACGCCTGGACCTCCAAGCGTAGATAGTGCAGGCTTGGTCTCGCGCGGTGGTGTCAATCCTGTGGCCAACTTGGCCCACGGGGCATCCATGGCTGCCTCTTCTGAGTGAAGGCCATGCAAGATCGGCCCAAAGACCGCAGCTGCAGCTGAAGGTAGGGGCGGCCCATCCAAAGCCCTGTTGGCCTCCTTGGATGTTGTTCTCGGGCTCTTGCTGGGGCGCTCCTCCGTAGCGGGACAGGCAGTCGTGCGTTTGGACCAGCGGTTCTGTTGCATTGCCAGAGGTCGCAATGGCTGAACCAATGCAGGCGGGGAAACGACCTCCGTACCAGGGAGGCCAGGGGGAGCACCGGTCAAGGTAGAAGCCGAAGACGTCTGTGGCATTGCCGAACCTAATCCCACAGTCGCCAGACGCGGGTGGGCCCCTGGCAAGGATCCAAGTTGCTCCAAGCTCTTCAGGACATCCCTGGCTTGCTGTACAGCGTTGGGCATGTGGGGCCCCCATATGGCTCCCAGGCTGTCCTGCGCCTTCCCCAGTAGGTCCTGTGTGGCAGCAGAGGCGGGAGGATTTATGTGGGTCGACAAGAGCTGTAGGGCCTCCGTGGTGTCCACGTCCAATTCCTTTCCCTGCCGCTCTACGTCCGCAAGGTGATAAAGCAGATGGTCGGCCATCCGTGCAAACCAAGCGAAGGCGGAGCCAGCCAATTCCTGTTTGGCCTTCACGTTGGACTCGAGGCGTTTGGAGGCACGCGCGATCTGGGTCGCCACGAAGTTTGCCTCCTGAGCCATGGTGCGCGTCACCGTGGCTTCGTCCGTTGCCAAAACAGCGGAGTGCAGTCTGCCAGCACGTGACTGCAATGCAGAGATGACTGTAGCCGGAGGCACAAACTTGATTGTACTGGTAGTCGGGGACGAAGATTTTGAGCCTTTCGAGCCACCACCCTTTGTCTTCTCCTCTTTGGCTTTCGGCGGCATGCTGCCGTGATGTGCCAGGAGTCGCAGACGGTCTCCAGCGCGGGGAGTGCCTCGTCGAAGGTTGGCCCTTGCACGGGCTCTTTGGAGCCGAAGTCTCCTGTGCCACCCAGGAGAACGGGGTCGGCGTGCCGTTGGGGCTAGGTGCCCAGAGCGCGGTGTGCACACCGGCAAGGAAGATGCCCAGAGCACCGCCCAAACAGATGCGGATGCAGCCTGCACCAAGCTGCATACACGCTTCCTCCCCCAAGAGGAAGCCAGGTCAGCAGCCCCCAGGCAGCCAGACCAAAGCCACGTAGAGTGGCTCGCAGGGCCGTCAAGGCCGATTGCAGCGCGCCGACAAATGGGCGCTGGGGTTTTGCTAAAAACAGCAAGAAGTGGCTCGAGGGCACGAACCACCAAACACTGTTGCTTGAGCAGAAACACCTACCCTCTAGACCCTATAAACCCTAAACTACCCAATAAACCCTAAACCCTAAACCCTAAACCCTAAACCCTAAACCCTACTAGCGCGCCAGGGAACCGGGCACAGCAGAACATGCTTGTCAATGAGCTGTGTAAGCACCTTGGTAGCCCAGCAACCATACCACAATAATTAGGGTTTAGGGTTTAGGGTTTAGGGTTTAGGGTGTAGGGTTTAGGGTTTAGGGGGATTTTTGCGCTTAGGGATGTATCGGCCCCCTTGGTAGCCGAATAACCATATTAACATAAAGGGCACCCTTTTTTTTGGGTTGGCGTACTTTGCAAAGGGAACCCTGAAGCAAACAAAAACAAAGGAAAAGGGGTACACTAAACCCTAAACCCTAAACCCTAAACCCTAAACCCTAAACCCTAAACCCTAAACCCTAAACCCTAAACCCTAAACCCTAAACCCTAAACCCTACAACTGGGCGATTGAGGCGCAGCGCCAAGAAGCCCCCCGCATATGGTGGCAGCCTCAAGTCTCTTTCAGATTCCGTTCTCGTGGCTGAAGGCATAAGGTCTCAGGCTAAACCCTAAACCCTAAACCCTAAACCCTAAACCCTAAATCCTAAACCCTAAACCCTAAACCCTAAACCCTAAACCCTAAACCCTAAACCCTAAACCCTAAACTAAGGGAATACTTCCAGGCAACGAATTCTTGTGCCCCTAAGGGCTCTGATGACCTAACTCTGTCCCTGGGGCAAAAATCGAAAGGATCTGAACGTGCTAGCTAAACTCTACAAGGACATGTTGCCCTGGGCAGCGCTAAACCCTAAGACAAAACCAGGAGGGTACTTAACCCTAAACCCTAAACCCTAAACCCTGAACCCTAAACCCTGAACCCTGAACCCTGAACCCTAAATGCTACCCTAACCTACACTATCCTGCCCCTGAAGGGGCCGCGGAAGGTAAAAGGAGCTACCTGGCCGGGCAGCCCGGCAAGACATTCTCAATGCGAAGCTGTTCGGGTCCGGAAAAAAACCCTGGAGTTGAGCATTAGCATCTGGAACCTTCAACCCTTAGCACTTAGCCCTAAGGTTTAGGGTTTAGGGTTTCGGGTTTAGGGTTTAGGGCTAAGCCCTAAGCCGCAAGCCGTACCCCCTCAACCCTGTAGTTCATGAGGCCGGCCAGCATGACACAGCCAAGCCGCAATGATCACCAAGCTTACCACACCTTTCCACTTTGCTTCGGATGCCAGGCTTCCTTTAAACAAGAAGGTGCCGCAGAGGTTCGACACGTTCACCATGTGTCCAGTAACCATTGTGGTGATGAGTCCCAGCCGGCCATTGCTGCATGCAGCTGACTGCACGCCAAACAATAACGTCACGCTGCAGACCGTGTAATCCCGATTGTCGCCCAGTTCGAACTCAGGATTGTACCAGTATATGGCGTTGCCAGCCAGGATAATGCACGCAACGGGAAGTGACACAATGCTGGCGCCTCTGTTGGGCCATTTGTGCTCGCAGACGCGCTGAAGCACCGAGCCAACGTTGAAACAAACCAGGATGGCAAGGTAGAAGCGCCTGGGCTGCTGCTGAGGTTGCCATTGTAAGGAATTCTGCTACTGTACAACTACATGTATGTAGAAATATTTCTGGTAGTAAGCGTTCCTTAGCAGCAGCCGAGAGGCAGGTTATGATAGCCATGCTGTGGCGCTCCTTCCACCATCAGCACCCCAAGGCTCCGGGTCAGGTTGATGACGTTGCCAGTCAT